AGGTGATACACTGCAAACTTTATATATTTTAAAGACAACTGAGCTCATGAACACTGAGCTCTTCCTTCTTTTATAGAACCTTATAGAACTTAGAACTTTAACTGCATAACAAATTTAACAAATTATACAAACTAACCATTTAACAAATTCGGAATTATATGGCCAAGGGTTTCCTTCGCTTTGCTCTCGAGAATTATCCAAAGCACCTTCTTCTTGAATATCGTGCATGTCGACCTCGATCTGCGACTCGGCACCAGCATCGTCCAAGTTGATCCAGGACAGACGGACGCTTCTGTACAATGACTGAACATTCTATTGTAAAAATGTCGTGTGTGCAAACCCGCATGATTTCCTTTCATTTCTGGCAAATTGTTTTTTTTGTTGTTTTTTTTTGCATTTCATTTCATCAGTCTGACTTTACTCAGGAACAAGGGCAGGTTCCATTGTAATGAAGTAAAATTACAAATTACTCATAAAAACTACACAGTTACAGTAACATGAGTAAATGTAATTAATTTCTTTCCACACTTGGTCATGAAATGGTAGTTTTCAACTTTTATCTTAAGCTCAGCAGAGATTCCGTAGGCAATCCCTGGGCCGAAATTGATCCAAATGATTCTAGTGACGTTGGGCTGAAGAACTCAACCCAAAACAACAACAAAACACAACTCCAGCTCTGTTTCTGACGAGGGAACGACATTATAAGATCAGAAAACAGCGTAACACGGGCCCTTTAAGAGCTCCCCCAAATCTGATCCCGGCCCCGACTGCTCCGTCCTTGGGCAAGACACTTTTCCGTCGCTCTTGCCAGCGCTCACACTCAGCGGCTCCGATTACACGCACCCGCCGATCATTATGAAACTTTTGAAGCTCAAAGACGATAAAAATTAAACGTTAAAACACCAAAATCGTTCCTGTGATCAGATTTTTGTGCATGAATAACTTTTTGGTGAATAATTACACGTAGAAAAGTACCACAGATTCGTTTTTTTTGCATTCTATTTTGCGTTTTTTGCTGTGTAGTCCACGTTTCTTTCGTCCTCTGCAGTCACATCGCTCGGTAAACCTCCCCGTACGTCCTCAAACTGTCTAAATATTTGTCCCCAGCCCCTTTTTCAAGCGCTCGGCCGTCCCTCTCGCGCCCTCGCCTCTGCTTTCTGTCACCGAGCCGAGCTGACAGCCAGGGCAGCCTGACTCAGCGCTGGCCCACTTCTCAGCTCTCGCACCGGGGGGACGGACGGACGGACGGAGGGGTACGTGCGAGGGAGGGAGGAGGGACGGAGGGCAGGGTATGTAGGGCAGATGCAAAACGAGCTGCGTTCAAAGGCAAAAAGCGGGGGGCAGGTGTGCGTAGTGTTGGATTTATAAAGAAGGCTGTGTCAAATGGTACCTGAGATTTTGTGAGAAAGGTGCAATGATGTGAAGGTTTGGGTGACTCTTAAATCCAGGTACTAAAGTATAAAAATGGATAATTACAAACTAGGGTGCATCATTTGTCCAACTTTTTGAAAATATTTTTTTTTTACACTTACCAATGTAAACTTCCGTGAGAAATTTCATGAGATTCTCTTGATGTTTACTGAGTCCACCAAGTCTCTGAAGTTTAGCACCTGCAGAAGCTTAAATCTGAGCTGAAACATCTTTTTTTTTTCTTTAATACATCCTTATTTTTTGTGCAAACTCGGATTTACCAAACCCCGAGCCATGACGTCACGCTCACTTACTCCACTTTTTTTATACAGTCTATGATCACGACAGAAAGAACAAACTTTAGGTCTCTCATTTCATCTTTGGGCTTTGTGGATTTTGGAGAATTATGAAAAAAACACTCAAAATCTTGACAAAATTATCAAATCTTAGAAAGTTATGAAGATAAAGATATAAAATTGGTACCAAAAGATGTGCAATAGTAACATTTTTATTCAACTTTCATTGACACCAGGGCCCTCAATGGATTAAGTTTAAAGTTTTCTCAAAGAAAAACTGATTTTTCTAATGGATGCTGTTAGGATGGAACTTAAGAGACTTGGTGGACCCAGTAGATTTTATTCAATTGAGCAAATCTTCCACAGATTTTCTTTTAATTGGTTTTGTCACATTTTAAAATTGGGTACAAGTTGAATTTCTGACATTGGTAAAAAGACATAAACAAGGGTTTGGTCTCTTCTTCTTTCAGCGACCTGATAAACGGATTTTCTTTCGCGGCGAACTGGTCGTGGATTCTTGTCCACCATTGCAACAAACTTTGTGCGAACAGTGAGGAAAATACAGTTTGAAAAAGCCTCTAAGAACCTCTACGTAATCCCCGCGTGCCGACGAATCACTTACACTAGAAACGTAGGGAGTTTGATTGACAACCTCACAGCCAATAGATAAAGAGGCAGCCTCATTTTCTATTGGCTGATGTTTATCTGGCCTCACTACGTCCACAGTTGATGGATTTTCATTCTTTTTTTTCTTTTTCTTTTTGGCTGCTGTGTCTCTATAATAGTATTTTAAACTTTCATTGACAATTTGAAACTAAAAAAAAAAATCCTCCATACAACCTTTAAAACATATATAATAATAAAGCTGTTGCGTTTTTTTTTTGAAGATTTTTAGAATGTAACCTCCGCGATAAAGGAGGGGCCACTGTATTCTTATTTTCTTTGTGTTTTTGGTCATTTTTTTAGGCAGCTTTTCTGTATTTTACCAAAACAAATGTCAATGTAAGCCTCTCTTGACTCTTGGCGGGGTTCAAATTGGTCAAAAATAGGGACATTTCTTGTATAAAACTGAGACAAATCAGTAGTTTTGGATAAATTTGCAAAGACAGAGGACACAGGGCTCAAAATTCTGACTGTCCCGGGTAAATAGAGACTCTTACTGCTACTACAATTCCAAGCGTGGGAAAGTCCAGCTCTCCGTTCACCTGCGTCATGGACAGTGCCTCTGGAAGCATATTGTGATATTGTTTAGAGCCGGAAGTCAATGTTAACTGTTCGTGTGTGCGTTTTGTGTGTGTTTTGCGTGTGTTTTGTGTGTGCGTGCAGCTGCTGTCCCCTCCCCCTCCGTCGCCCTCCGTTACACAACAGGAAGTGCCTCCCAAAACACCCCATGACACCCGCCGTGACCAGCAGCACCCACGGGAGCTATTAGTAATCGGCGTGTTGCCTAAACTCCGTCGCCCGTATTTACGCTGAGCGGAGTGAGGAAAGGCCATGGAGGTGTGTGAAGAGCAGATTCCTGGAACTGAAGCCTTAACATGTTTAGAATATACAGGATAAATGATGTTTTTTTTCATAATGTACATGTTTTATACCTTAAAGATCGACTGCGTAACTTTTCTCGAGGGGTTTGTCACTCGTTTGTCTCTCTGTTATCGCTTTGTTACGCAGTTAAACTTCAATCTATCTGGCATTTATTCAAGCGTAGGTGTGTTTAGTGTCAATTTGTTTATACCGTGAGCGGGTTTGCCTCTCCACAGATCTGGCTTCTTACTTGGCGTAGAGTAGGGTGACCAGATTTTCAAAATAAAAAAACTGGGACATCCTTGTTTTTTTTGGTGGTTGGTGATAATAAAATTGTGAAATTAGTCCGTAATTAAGGAAAATTGTTACGCAGACAAACATGTGAGTCAGTATAGTCACATTTTCTTTGTGTTTTGGTCATTTTAAAGCAAATTTTCTGTATTTTACCTAAACAAATTACAATATATGTCTCTCTTTACTGTTGGCAGATCAAAATTGGTCAAATAGGGACACCTGGGACATTTCTTGTATAAAACTGAGACAAATCACTGGTTTAAATCTACATAGTTGTTGTCTATATTAATTTTCCATTTTACAGGGCAGCCGCGGGGTCATAAATGTCTTTAAAAAGTCTTAAATTACGTTGCCAAGTCTTATTTTTTTCACAAAGGTTTTTTCTGTTTACTCAAATGGGCTGCAGTGTGTTTTTAAACAGAGGGAGAAAAAAACAAAAAACAACAACAACTTGAAATCATGTAACGTGAATGAACGTCTCATTTGCACCAACAATACTTTTGTTTCTGGCGCCGGCGGCAATGAGTAAAACAATCAGTAGAGTGGAGGAAGACGTTTTATGGATCACGGGGAAGTGTTTGTTTTATCCACAGTGGCTCTTAGATTCTAGATATAATACCTGTAGTTGGTTGGTCATTATTAGAATCGGATCTGGTGTTTTTCGCCCGCATAATGGGTGCGATGTTGGTCTTAATTTTCATTTAAGTGGTCTTAAAAAGGTCTTAAATTTGGGGTAGTCAAACCTGAGAATACCCTGATTTTAAACTTTTGCGTAAATTAAGTGTTTTGTTTTGTTTTTTTAGAGGGAGAAAAGCTGAATAAATGCATCGTGAACAATCGTGATTTCAATATTGACCAAAATAATCAGGACAATGATTTTTTTTCCATCATCGAGCAGCACTAATTGGCGTTATTAGGTTCTTTTTTCAGACCAAGAGTTTGTTTTCATACCTGACAGTTTCAGAGTCACGTGATGTTGCTGTGTCGTGTCGCTCAGCTGATTTAAACAGGTTTTCGAGCTGTTTTCCTACCGGTGGAGGCAGACGACAGCGCCACCTGCAGTCCCACCTCCTCAGGACAGTATCCTACGTGTGTGAGAGTAAAAAAGCCCCTCGTCCCGGTTTATAGTCCCTGGGTCCTTGGTCTGAAAAAAAAACCTAATAACATAAATTATCGGAAGACCTTCGTTGGACAGCCCGAATTTGCTGTTGCTGTTAAAAAAAAACATGAAAAACAGAAAAGTTTGCAATGGTCTCAGCTTATTCCTTACTTTTTAACTCATTCCTTGCATCCTGATAATTCACCGCAGTTCGTTCATGAAACAATTTTCACAACTTTCAGAGAACAGTTTATATTTTTCTGTACTAAACATGACACACTTTTCTTGTCGATGTGATGTTTTTCTTCATAATATTCACATTTTAAAAGCCGTGACGTCCTTCTAATCGTGCTGCGTTTGTGTTTGTTTGTGTGCAGTGCGAGGATGCAGACCGGGGAAGATCGTGCAGATGTCAGAGGCCGAGGTCCGGGGCCTGTGCATAAAGTCCAGAGAGATCTTCCTGAGCCAGCCCATCCTGCTGGAGCTGGAGGCCCCGCTCAAAATATGTGGTCAGTGCACGAGCGACAGCGCGTTTCTACCGCACTGTAGAGCATGACCAGCTCTTTTTTTGTTTAGTTTTTTTTATTTATTTCAGTTTTTACGAGGGTTGTTCCATTACCAATACTGGTTACGCAAAAGCTCAGGTGAAATAGACTGTGGAGGCTCTGCAGCAGGGGTCTTCAACCTTTTGTTAAATGAAAATGCCAAAGAGCTACTAATTTTAGCGTTCGCCAGAAATTTTGTACATTTTAGAGCCATGGTAATCCAACAATGAAGTACAGTTAGATGTCTATAAAACATAACCCATTATCCAGTTATCGGTGCACAAAATTAGGCATCAAAATGATAGATTTGCAAAGAAAACAGGCATTTAATCAATCAAATTTGAGTTACGCAGCGCAAAACGTATAATTCAGAAATACCTGGGTGAGCGACAGGGTTCATATGGTCATGGAAATTCTGGAAAAGTCATGGAATTTTAGTATCTCTTTCACACATTCTGTTAAATTCTCATGAGGCTATTCTGATTATTTCCGAACGTCTGAGCCTTTTGTTTAAAAAAGACGACAATAAATGCACTGACAGGATTTTGAATGTTAAAAAACTATAATCCCAAACCATAAGGTGAGTGGAAAGAGTTATTTCATATTTGCCCTAAAAGTCTGATCATTTCTACACATGTAGGTGCCGTAAAGTCATGGAAAATTCACTTTAGGCCATGAAAAAGTCTCGGAAAAGTTTTGAAATTTTGTCTTTGTAAAAAAGAGTGGGAACCCTGGAGCTACAGACGGACACGCCGATAATGACAGAAAAAATATTTGCGTTTCCTCTTTGATACCTTCATTTAGCCTTTAGTGTGGACGCTCAACTTAGTAGAAAAACTGCGCTACGACAACGACGACGACAGCACTAACTCAGACTTTGTTTACTCTGAATAATTATCCATGTGCTTCGAGGATGAGCAACTTTTTACAGGCTTCACTGTTAGTTTTATCCATGCACTGTGGGTAAAAGTAACAAATTAGTAAAGTATAAGTGTTTAAATCAGCTCTATTTATGGTCAAACTCATTATATATTTGACTCTCAAAATTTAATTTATTCTTCTAGATTTTCTTTAAACACTTTAGTCTTTAGTAGATTTATTCATTGCTCTTGTACTGTAACAAACGTGAGTAGCCTTAATCTGTTTCTTCACTCTATGTGGTATCGTTCTGGTATCGGTATCAGCAAGTACACTAGGGCCAAGTATCGGTATTGAATCTCAAAAAAATAGTATCGGAACAATCCTAGTTTTTATACACAGCAAAAAAGTTTGGCCAAAATGTAAGATATAAACACTTAAATCTATCAGAAAATGGTTTAAAATTTGTGAAATTATTCGTCTGTGCAGCAAGAACATTTTACTTGACAAGTTATTTTAAAATAAACGACCTCTAGACGAGAATTAATCAGTCTTAGAACTAGTAAGTAGAGAATAAATCTGAAAACAAGATAAATAACCTGATATAAGTTGTAAAATCTTGGTCAGATGAGAGAATTTTCGGCGTACTGACCTGCGTCTCCTCAGGTGACATCCACGGCCAGTACACAGACCTGCTCCGGCTGTTCGAGTACGGCGGCTTCCCCCCGGAGGCCAACTACCTGTTCCTGGGCGACTACGTGGACCGGGGGAAGCAGTCCCTGGAGACCATCTGCCTGCTGCTGGCCTACAAGATCAAGTACCCCGAGAACTTCTTCCTCCTGAGGGGCAACCACGAGTGCGCCTCCATCAACCGCATCTACGGCTTCTACGACGAGTGTGAGTCTTTTATACACTTATAGAGAACCTGCCCTGATCCAATAGACCGCCATTTAAAGTTAGCACATTTTCGAGTCGTTCCTTTAATTTTCACATCAAGTCTACGTTCAGACTGCAGGGCTTAACGCTCAATTCCGATTTTTTTGTGAAATCCGATGTTTTTGCGAGGTCGTTCACATTTCCAATTAAATGCGACTTGTATTCGATCCCCAGTGTGAACATTAAACGGCCCAAAAGTGTCCCGCATGTGACACTGGAGACACGACGACGTCAACCGCAGCGAGCGTCTCTGTGTTTACAGAAGTTGTCCAAACATGGACGCAGCATCGAGCACCTGGAGATTTTAAAGTTCCTCTCGTACCGGAGCCAGAACATGAACAACTTACTTGTTTTAAGGAGGAGATTGAGAAGGAGAAGGACGAGGTTTTTGGCCGTGGTGTTTTATGGGGCAGCGACGTCCGTTTAAAGGAATGTGTGGATGTGGAGACGTAGCCAAGAGTGGTGATGTGCTTCACTTCAGTCACACGGAGTTCATTAACAATTTTCGCCTACTTCAGCGCAGAATAGTGACGTTTGTGTCTTGTTGATAACGTGTAGGTCGAATGAATGAGCTTTGTCCGTTCACACTGAAGTCACATGTCAAAAGATCAGATATGTATCAGTTTCAGGAGCACATATCCAAGTGTCCTGGGTCACATTTGAAAAAATCGGATCTGTGTCGTTCAGACTGTCATTAAAAGATCAGATACAGGAACATAGAGGCCAAAAAATTGGATTTGGGTCACTTCAGGCTGCAGTCTGAACGCAGCCTAAGAGACATGGTGTAAAAATGTTGTGCACAGAGATGTGAGCAGCAGAGAGATAAACACAGGGGCTCAGTCGTATCAGATCCCGGTTGAAGATGACAGACGAGACAAGTGGAGCTGCCATCAGTGTGACAAATACCCGACAATATTCAGGGGTCCCCATCTCCGAACTGTTGAGCAACACAGACTCAAATGTGAAAAACAAAAAAGACACAGACAGCCTAAATTGAATAGGCCCGATTCAACTGATTCAACTTATGAAGTGCATTTAGCCTCGTGTGAGAAATGTTACAGTCGGACTAGATCCAAACCAGAGTCCTGACCCAGCGGGAGCAGCTCTGGTTCAGGCTCAGAGGAGCTGGAGCGGGGAGTGATGTTCGGTAGTCAAAGTACTCGAGCACGGAGGATCGGAGCAGCCCGCCCGGACCTGCAGGAACATCAGGAACATCTGGGCTGATCCTGTCCGGGTCCGTATGGGATGGTGTCTTTTTTTTTTTTTTTTTTTTGAGGCTTTTTAGGGGGTGTGATGGGTTAATCGTATTTTGCACACTGACTTACATAAATCGGGGAATTTATGACCCGACCACAGACAAGTCGTGTTATTAGAATGTGAACTACTGTTGTTGGGATCGTCAACTGGATTATTATTGTAGTAGTAGTAGTAGTAGTAACAATAACAGTAGCAGTAGCAGTAGTAGTAATTATGTGGTATTGTGTTTTATTGACACAGTCTTATAAGTGTTTTGGTGACTCATTAACAGTGACTCTCTGTCCTGCCTGTGCCGCTCCAAAACGCTGGGAAACATTTACTGTCTCATAATCTCACATGTTTCCTCGTAATCCATTAAATTACTTAAAGTGAGTAATGTAATCTGAGTACTTTGGATTACTTGATATTGTCGTGCTTTTTTAAAACGACATGAATGTAACGACCACATCCTGATAGAGAAATTATTTTTATATGAGACACTGCAGCCTTCAGTTATGTCCACACCACTGTTAATGTCATATTGTTTAGACCTGGTTTAGTCCTGGTTTAATCCTGGTTTTAGACCTGGTTTTAGACCTGCTTTTAGACCTGCTTTTAGACCTGGTTTAGTCCTAGTTTAGTCCTGCTTTAGTCCTGCTTTTAGACCTGGTTTAGTCCTGCTTTTAGACCTGGTTTAGTCCTGGTTTTAGTCCTGGTTTAGTCCTGGTTTTAGTCCTGGTTTAGTCCTGCTTTTAGTCCTGGTTTAGTCCTGCATTTAGTCCTGGTTTAGTCCTGGTTTAGTCTTGGTTTAGTCTTGGTTTAGTCCTGGTTTTAGTCCTGGTTTAGTCCTGGTTTTAGACCTGGTTTTAGTCCTGGTTTTAGTCCTAGTTTAGTCTTAGATTAGTCCTGTTTTAGTCCTGCTTTTAGACCTGCTTTTAGTCCTGGTTTTAGTCCTGGTTTAGTCCTGGTTTAGTCTTGGTTTAGTCTTGGTTTAGTCCTGGTTTTTAGTCCTGGTTTAGTCCTGGTTTAGTCTTGGTTTAGTCCTGGTTTAGTCTTGGTTTTAGTCCTGGTTTAGTCCTGGTTTAGTCCTGGTTTAGTCTTGGTTTAGTCCTGGTTTAGTCCTGGTTTTAGTCCTGGTTTAGTCCTGGTTTAGTCTTGGTTTAGTCCTGGTTTTAGTCTTGGTTTAGTCCTGGTTTAGTCCTGGTTTAGTCCTGGTTTAGTCCTGGTTTAGTTCTGCTTTTAATCCTGGTTTAGTCCTGGTTTAGTCCAAAATGTGAAAACAGGAAAATCCCTCTGTGTAATCCATTTATTTCAACAAAGTAACTGTAATCCAATTACCACTCACTGAAACAGTAACTGTAACCGAATACAGTTACTCATAATTTGTACTCTGATTAAGTAATCTGTTACTCCCCGACACTGTCTGTACCTTATTTAGCTCTTAAGTGTCCATTAGTGCCGGGGACAGTGCCTTTCTGTACGTGTTCTCCCTCGTGTTACTCTTAGCTCCAGTGAACACGCTTCCCCTGTGGATTTAACCCTTTTATGTCGTCTAATGATCAAATCCACTTTATTTCTATCGCACATTTCACAAACAAACTGTTTCCAAAGTGCTGCACAAAAACATAAAAAATAACAACAATAAGATGATAAAGTAAACTACTAAAATAATACTAGTCTTAAAGTAATAAAACCAGTCAAATAAAATAAAACCAGTCAAATAAAAATAAAACTATATCATAGAATAGAAATAAATAAACCAATAAATACATTAACCCTCTCAGGCTCAAATTAATTTTTAGTATCAGGAAAAATCTGATATTTGTGGAAAATTATAATATGGGGTTGTAATATACAATCCTGACTTTTTTATCCTTAAGTATTTTGCACTTCTGCCTGTACTCATTCTTGCACAGTCTGCATCGTCCACGTTTATCAGCATGGATGGGAGAAAAGGCTCCTGAGTAAAAAAAGCTCATAAAATATGGATGTGGAGTAAGTAGATAATTGGAATTTAGCTGTTGCAAATCTGCAACGCCTGCCTGGAGAGGGTTAAATCGGTAAAACCAATAAAAACACAGTGCAAAGATGCAAGGATTGAGGTTATGTGCTCTTCTCTCCTTTTTGTTCCCGTTAAAAGTCGCGCTAATGATGCCTGAGCTACTCCAAATACCTCACATACACGCAGTAATGCCGCGCAACTTACACTGGGTTAGTCCCAAATCTTATTACATGTGAACATTTCTCACATTTTTCACCGTCTCCTCGCTGGTTTCAAACCAGTGGAGCAGGACGCGTCTGGTCCCCGCTGTTCTTTTTATTGTTTCTGTGACCTTTGAGTGACTATTACTTCGCCGGATCATCCGATGTGAAGCTCGTTCAGATATTAAATATGGATCAGTGTGTCGAAGGGGAAAAAACAATCACGATTTTCGATTTGTTGGTCTTATTGAAAACAGGCACAGACACTTCAGGCATAAAGAGCAGAGTGTCAGTATCACTACAGTTTTATTTCGTGTTGATAGGACTGATAATTACAGAGAAATTCACATTCAAAGATTGGAATGAGTTTGTACGATATATTAAAGAATATGTGCGTTACGTTGTGCCGCGATGTCCATGCGCTAAATGAGGTCTTAAGTTTCACTCATAAACGGTGAGAAAATACTTGTTTACGTTCTATAACTTGGATTATAAAGATGAGAAGAACCAGAGGAAAGGTGAGGAGCTGGATCAGAACAAGGGAGCGCACACACACACAGAACTTTTAATCAAATTGTGCAGATTTAAGTCAAAACTTGCGAAAGAGAAACACGCTGTGGCTCAGGCTACTTTATCCTAAAAAAAGAGCGTAAATCCTCATCAGCTCCACTGCGCTTTTACTACGGTGTCAACATTCAGATCATGAGGTCAGTGTCATAGATGGAGGAAATGTGGACAGTATTTGATTCAGAGTTAAGGTTTGACAAAAACATGGATTCTATTGCAAAAAAAAAAAAGGTCAAGAGAGAATCCACCTGCTGCTCAAACTCAACTCTTTTAACGTCTCAAAACCAACACTGTGCTTTTATCATTCTTTTATTGAGAGCCTTTTAACCTTTTCTTTTACCTGTTGGTTTTATGGTTTGTCAATCAAAGTCAAAAACAGCCTGAACAACATTTTAAAAATGTGCTCAAATATAATCGGTGTACAGATGCCCAACCTGAGTTCTTTATGGAGCAGCAGGTGCTGCAGAAGGCCAAGTGTGTCATCAGCAGCTCAGATCACATTCTAAAAGAGAGACTCCCCCTGATGCCCTCTGGGAGGCGCTGATGCTCCCAGCAGGAAAACAAGTAGATTTAATAATAATTCCTTTATTCCCTGTGCCGTTCGGCTCCCAAACACAGAGGTGAAACAGACTGAGCCAAGTGTGTTTTTTATCCTTTGTTTACTGTTCTAATGTTGTTCTGTTTTGTATTTGGCCTTTGCACTTTGTGTCACATTTGCACCAGTGCCCAGCTCTGGTGTCCATAACTGTACGAGCACCGACCTGTGTGAAGTGTGTGTGTGTGTGTTTTTTTTATGCTGTTGTCTGCGACTGCAAACAAAATTGCCCTTTGGGAATAAATAAAGTTTTCTAAACCAAACTAAACTTAACATGATTGGTTGTTGACCCGTCGATTAAAACACGCTCGCCTCATCATCGAGATCGACCAAAGTAGAGATCGTGATCTGTCCATCTTACGATTTTTGCCACAGGCCATTAATACACAGTCAGAAAACAATCGAAACCTTTAAAAGTGACAACAAAGGTCAAATATGGGCAGTAAACGACATTTATTCTCCCCAAACCGGTTGAGATGAAATGAATGAAATTAAAAATGTGACAATTTCCTCACCAGAATCTATGGAAAAACTTAAATTAAAATCAGGTGCAGTTTCTTTAAATGTTCTGTCGTTTTATTTTCTCTGAGCTGTTTGTAGTTTTAAAAAAAAATATTTTTATTATTATATTTTTAACGTTTTCAGTCGTAGCGTCATTTTCCAAAACGATAAGTGTTTTTGTAAAGTTTTAGTTTGAGGTTTTTAGTGTCCACCTCTGTGCCATCTGCAGCAAAAATCCAAACGAGGAACAAGACACGGACTTTTCCAAATCAACCAAAACAGCAGGATTTGTTACGTCATAGTTAAAGTTTTGATACAGGTTTTAGGACGGAGCTGAGGCGAGTTTGTGTCACAGTCGGACTTTTGTATTGTTGATAATAAAACTGGAAAACAAACGTGGATCTGAGTTTATATTCCTTTTTGAGTTCTTCTCTCACATGTTATGTTCAAAATAAACGTCATGTTATGTTTGCAAGTCAGAAAAATAGCAGTAGTAGTATTAGTATTAGTAGTTTTACTGATGTGTTGTGGTCCACAGGTAAACGCAGATTCAACATCAAACTGTGGAAGACGTTCACGGACTGTTTTAACTGTCTGCCCATCGCCGCCATCGTGGACGAGAAAATCTTCTGCTGTCACGGAGGTACTTTTCAACTTATTCAACATTTTAATGATGCGTCAGTTTAAAGGTATTTAAAGGGACAGCTGTTTTATGATCTGTTATAATGTCGTTTTGTTTCATTCACGCACGTTTAACACAGAAACCCGGCACATTTAGGCTGAGTTCTGCTCTAAAACAGAAACGGTAGGAGCATTTTGAGCTTTGGGAGAATGAAACAAAACACAACTCCAGGTATCAGATGAAGAGAATTATTGCCAATCCATAACTTAGTTTGAGGGTCAATCATGATCTGAGGGACATAAACTTGAGGGACGGTGCATTTTTTGATTTCTTCTGTTCATTTTCAAGCTCAGTTTTCTGTATTTTAGCTAAACAAATGACAATATATGCCTCTCTTTACTGACTTTGGGGATCAAATTGGTCAGAAATAGAGACAAATGGGACATTTCTTGTATAGAACTGGAACAAATCAGTGGTTTTGGATAAATCTGCTGGGACAGGGGACACTGGGCTCAAAACTGGGACTGTCCCGGGTAAATAGAAACGTCTGGTCACCCTAAACTCGAGGCACACCGACTGGATTTAGTAAAAGTCCTTTATTACGTGGAGCGACGCCAACGAGTTTCGACCGGCAAGATGGTCTTCGTCAGGTCTGTTTTTGATGAGGTACCAACATTATAATTTAGTTTTATTGTAGGACCTAGGGCTGGGCGATATGGATCAAAAAATATATCTCGATATATTTTGCTATATCTCGATATACGATATATATCTCGATATATGTTCAAGAAAAAATAACCCCCTAAAACTGAAAACTGCAAAAACAAATCTGCCAAATTCCACAAGGTCTTTTTTTTTTTTTATTGAAGTGTAAGAGGTCGGCAGTTCATACAGGAACATTTAAGATTACAAAAAAAACTAATTACATAAATAATAATTTAACTGTAAAATAAAAGAAATAAAACATATTTCCTTCTTTTCATTCATAAATAAAACAACTCAAAACAAGCTCATCTTTGCATTAACTCTGTTCTCCAAACCAGAACCAGAACCATGAGCTCATTTAGCAGAAGAAGCTCAGGATGTTCCTTATTTCAATAGATCCATGTTATTATCCAGCAGTGAGGAGCTCTGAGGTTTAATCCCACAATCCACTGCAGATCAAACCCAACGTTTCCAAACACTATTGTACAAGTGACACTGCAGCAGATTATTCATTAAAATATTCTGCATAAATAAACTTTACATTGCTAAACTTTACAATATATAAAACATAACGACTCTAGAGCCACATCAGCCCGTTTGAGATAATAATGTGTTTAATGCAGTTTTGCGCACGTGTGTTTACATTTTACAGAAACGAAACTTAAGCGCATGGCTCATTTGCATAAACAGCACTTCTCACGCAGCTCAACTCGTTCAGCTTCTTTCGGGTTAAAGGACGCGACTCGGTGGAACATGAGGATGTGCTGCTGGTGGTTTTGTTTGTAAATGGTGGAAAAGGTTCGTGGTGCTTGAAGCTTTTCACTGGCACCAACTTTCGGCGTTCAGGAGGTAGTGACGAGTGAAGGAGACACGAGCGAACAAAATCAGGGAGGCGGAGGCGACGAGAGAGAAGACAAACAAGCGAAGCGGCAAAATCAGAATTGAATCTAAGCATTATATCGATATATACGATATGTCAGAATTCATATCGAGTTTAAAAACTATCTCGATATATTTAAAATATCGATATATCGCCCACCCCTAGTAGGACCTTTAATATCTGTGCTGATCCGGGAAATTGACCTGGATCGGGAACAAGTACGGTGCTGTCAGTTCAGTTCGATGTCCAGGTCGGGCCGTTTATTTGATGTAATGAGACTATTTAGTATTTACTGGCTGATGCTGGCCCAGAACAAATGTTTGGATTTCTATTTATACAAAGCTGTTCTGTACTTCCAGAATAAATAACAGTTACATAACACAAGTGGATCCAAGTTAACTTTGTATTGGAACATTTTCAGTCCCCGCACTCGTGTTGATTGGTTAATACCGGCGCGCTGTTCAAGTTTTGAGTAAATAAATAAATCATAAATAAATCGTCACATACTTAAAGTCGGAAGTGTTTACGTCGGTGTTGGAACTGAAGAGAGTTGGATTGGTGCGTACTTCAAGGTGTTGGCCGCCGCGTTCCAAATATGGATCTATAATAAAACCTGGATAAGCCCCTCCCCCTCTGTTCAGACTAGTGGCCGCTCCAGGTACTGCAGCTTCCGGAAAGAAATCTCCCACAGAGCGAAATGCATTTTTTGGGGAATTCAAACTGCTCGTGTTCGGCTAACATGGCTGATCTGGCTTTTACAAAGGTCAGGTTTTGTAGGATTCTTTTGTATTTTCACAATAAACAACAAACTTTATAGCCTCTTAACGCCGACGGTCACAAATATGCGACAGACCGTTTGGATCAAGATATAAGCCGAGATGTCACAAATTTGCAACATACCCACATTTCTATTTATTTAATTTTTTGCTATAGTCAAATTAATAATCTCAACTTAATTTATCATGTACTTGAAAATAATAAAAACACATACAAAACTTTTTTTTTATATAGGAGTGTCAAACTCATTTTGGTCCGGGGGCCATATCCAACCTACTTTAATCCCAAATAAGCCGGATCAGAAAACTCATGGAATATATACTTCAAAAATAACAATAAGTTCAAATATTTGTGCAGAGAAACGCAAATCTATTACAAAAATCTTTTTCAATTAATGAACTCTTTCTTTTACAAAATATTATATTATTATGAAGAACCTGAAACTTTAAGAAAAAATAAAATTTCGACACAATATTTTAACATGAACTTGTATGTAAATAGGAATAAGTCCATTTTTGTTGTAAAATCCTGCACTCGGCTCCACTTTTCTCATGTTGGACATTTTTCTGATGAGGGTGTCACGGTCAACAGTCAAAACGATCGTCCTTTAAGAGCGTTTGGAAAGAGACAAGTCTTCATTTGTGCTGCTCTGGTGGGAGGGGCCACGTACAGAGACGCTGGAGACGCTGCTGTGATAAACACCACAGAAAATTAACAAGATTTTAATTAAAATATTTAAGTTGAAAATCAGCCAAGGGCCAGATTAAAGGTCTTGGAGGGCCGGATCTGGCCCCCGGGCCTTATGTTTGACACCTGTGATCTATATAAATTCAGACGTTAAGGGGTTAAAATCACAGACTGTATAAAAGAAGTGGACTGTGTGAGTGTGATGTCGCCCAAATGAGGCTCGCAATGCTCACGGTTACAGGAGTGAATCTGGAGCCAGGCTTTAAGTTATAAATCGGGTTTTTTGACAGACGAAATAGCGAAAAAAATGTAAAATCAGGATCATGCGTCGCTGGTTAATTCGAACATTTTAACACGAAATGACGAGGCTCACAGCAGCAGATACAGAGAGGAGCGACCAGATCCTAATGCGAATCAACTGGAGCCAGAGGAGCCAGAAGAGCCTCCTGGAGAACTTTCTACTTGGCACACGGCGGCAAGAGCGTTAGATATGTCCACTCATGTATACGGTCTATGGTTAAAATCCTCAAAGAGCTCAAACGTTAACTTTTGAGGAAGTGAAAATGACATGACGTTTGGGCCCCATGCGCCAATGAGCACAGGCCCCTGAAAATACAAAACAATACAACGCCATCATGGATTCAACTTCAGATTTTATTAGAGTTCCGTAATTCCAACAGAAAGTTCTCAGGAGGCTCTTCCGGCTCCTTCTGACTCCGGCTCCTTCTGACTTACATTGGAATATCGTGGCTCCTCTCTCTGTAACTACTCCTGTGGCCTCATCATTTTCGTCTTAAATGTTCATATTAACCTGCTCTACATGATTCTGGATTTTTATTTTGCCATTTTGTCCGTTTAAAAAATCCTTTTCGTAATATAGAACGTGGCTCCAAATCCGCTCCTGTAATTTAGTCCACAGTATTTTCTTTTATTACCACGTCGTCTTGTATTATTCCTGATAAAATTGAAGATCATTCTAAAAGTTTTGCCGTTTATGCTTTTTGTATTTTTATTTTTTTGGATCGATACCTAAACAAATAAATATCTAGTGTTAATAATTAAGCCGCACAATACTGTAAACCAAAACTAAACGAAATTGCATTTTAAGTTTTAAGGCGCAATTATCAACTCTATTTACTTGCCTAATGCAAAAAAATCTAAATATTGTGTATTTTGATAGAAAACCAGTTTATATCTCTACAAACAGGTTCTGAAAAGCATTGGATTCTCGTTTTAAAAGATCAATTTATATTTTTGTCTTCTCTTAAACGTCTTAAACACTCCTGGAGATGTTTAGTCGTTTGCGCAGCCTGAACAGAATCTTAGTTTTAACGCAAATGTAATCACAATACAAAGAAGAAACCGAGAAAAGATGACATTTTAACACAGTTTGTAATAAAATTCATGATTCAATTTCCAATTTCGGCCTCACAATTTTCCTGTTTATTTGATTTCATGTTTTTGTTTCCATTCTAGTGCTGCTTTTCATCAACCCGTTTTCGTCCAAACACTCGGGAAAAAAATCTCTTTCAGCAGTTGTGTTTCTGGAGATCTTGTTTCATGAGATCTTAAATCACAATATATAATAAAACCTAAAACGAATTCTTTTTATTTGTTTATTTTGCAGCCCTAAGGTGGTAGGTGTGGGCAGATAAAGTCCATATAGATATGAACCGCTGTGCCATGCTGAGCTGAGTTGTGCAAGAGTCCAAAGTGGTACAAACCTGTGTAATACTCATATTTGTGTTGTTGATCCACAGGCCTGTCCCCCGACCTACAATCGATGGAGCAGATCAGACGCATCATGAGGCCCACAGACGTACCAGACACAGGTGGGGGCTCTGTTTGACTTTTCTCTGTTTTGGAAGCTTGTTGGGGATCAGTTCACAGTTAATCGTTGTACTAATATTTCCAACGCAATTTCGACACTAAGGAATAGGTTCAAAACAATACCAATTCTGATACCACGATGAGAATAAAAAAAAAAGACAACAACACTTTTTTTTTAGAGTGTGACTTTCAATATTAAATAAAAGAATCTGTGTATCATTCGTTCATTTGTTTTTCAACATAAAACCAAAAATAAGAAAACACGAAAAAACAACAGTTTTCTTCGTTATTTGTCTCCAAAACCAAAATGAAAAAACGGATAACGATTTGTTTTTTTTCGATTTTGTGTTTAAATGAAAAATGGAAAAAACGGATAACGACCGTTTTCCGTTTACGTGACTTCCGTGACTCATTGCCAGAAAATAAACTAGATCTAAACTAGATCTAAGCCAGATCTAAACCAGGACTAAAACCAGGTCTAAACCAGGACTAAAACCAGCTCTAAACTAGATCTAAACCAGGTCTAAACCAGGACTAAAACCACATCTAAACTAGATCTAAACCAGATCTAAACCAGGTCTAAACCAGGACTAAGACCAGGTCTAAACCAGGACTAAAACCAGCTCTAAACTAGATGTAAACCAGGTCTAAACCAGGTCTAAACCAGGACTAAAACCACATCTAAACTAGATCTAAACCAGATCTAAACCAGGTCTAAACCAGGACTAAAACCAGGTCTAAACTAGATCTAAACCAGGTCTGAACCAGGACTAAAATCAGCTCTAAACTAGTCTAAACCAGGTCTAAACCAGGTCTAAACCAGGACTAAAACAGGACTAAAACCAGGTCTAAACTAGATCTAAACCAGGTCTAAACCAGGTGTGAACCAGGACTAAAACCACATCTAAACTAGATCTAAACCAGGTCTAAACCAGGTCTAAACCAGGACTAAAATCAGATCTAAACTAGATCTAAACCAGGTCTAAACCAGATCTAAAACAGGTCTAAAACCAGGTCTAAACCATCCTAGTCTTTGCTTCTCTACAGCAAATCAAGTAATCCAAAGTATTCAGATTACGTTACTCACTTTAAGTAACTTCATGGATTACGTTACAAACTACATTTTGGGATATGTAATCTGTAATCTGTAATCTGTAGGGGAATACATTTTAAAAGTCACCTTCCCAACGCTGTCCAAATGTAAAAACACATGTCCAATCAGACAGTAAAATTCTGAACTTTACCAAAAATAAAAAACACTGGAAAAAACTAGGCAATATTTTTAGTGGAAACTTAAATGTAAAGATGTTAACTATATTTTATGTTTAGTCTTAACCTTTCCTAACTGCCTTCTTGAAGTTCTAACCAAATAGAGTTACAAGTCTGGTGCCCACTGCGACGTTGCCATAAAATAAACTGACCTAAACACTGAGTGCGTGTCCTTAAGAGGATGTGAGAGGAGCCGCCGTGAAGTGTGCCCTTATAAGGATTTACGAGGGATTTCAGTTCACCAGCTCGACCAAATACGCAGTAAAGTTCGGTTTAAAGGGTTTCTAAAGGTGCATTACGTAGTTTGTGTCTGCTACGGGTTTGTCTCCATGGAGATGTTATTACTTTGCCTGTAATGTTCTACAATAAAAAAAAAAAAGATCTATAATTTATTTATTTCATTGGGTGTTTTTATTGATCAGAAACACCTGGAAAAACACGGATTCTGTCTTTGTGTGACCAGACGTCCTTATTTACCCCGAACAGTCACAGTTTTGAGCCCTGTGTCCCAGTAGATTTAAACAAAACCACTGATTTGTCCCAGTTTTATACAAGAAATGTCCCAGGCGTTTCTATTTTTGACCAATTTTATACCTGTCAGCAGTAAAGAGATGCATAAATTGTCACTTTTTTAGGTAAAATACAGAAAAGCTGCGTAAAAATGACCAAAACACAAACACGTGTTAGTCAGGAATGGACCAAGTGCATAATTTTTTTTTTTTTTAACTACACACTCTTTTACAATTTTATTATTACCAACCACCACAAACCCAAAAGTGTCCCTGTTTTTTTTTTTTTTTATCACAAACACCTGGAAAAACATGGATTCTGTCTTAGAGTGACCAAACGTCCTTATTTACCCCGAACAGTCCCAGTTTTGAGTCCTGTGTCCCCTGTCCCAGTAGATTTAAACAAAACCACTGATTTGTCCCAGTTTTATACAAGTATTGCTATTTTTGACCAATTTTATACCTGTCAGCAGTAAAGAGATGCATAAATTGTCACTTTTTTAAGTAAAATACAGAAAAGGATGCTTAAAAATGACTAAAACACAAACATATGTTAGTCAGGAATGGACCAAGTGCATACTTTTTTTTTTTTTTAAACTACACACTCTTTTACAATTTTATTATTACCAACCACCACAAACCCAAAAGTGTCCCTGTTTTTTTTTTAATTTTTTATCAGAAACACCTGGAAAAACATGGGTTCTGTCTTATAGTGACCAAACATCCTTATTTACCAAAGACAGTCCCAGTTTTGAGTCCTGTGTAGATTTATCCAAAACCACTGATTAGTCCCAGTTTTATACAAGAAATGTCCCAGGTGTTTCTATTTTTGACCAATTTGATCCCTGCCAACAGTAAAGAAAGACATAAATCGTCATTTGTTTAGGTAAAATACAGAAAAGCTGCTTAATAACGACCAAAACACAAAAAAATGTGACTACACTGACTCACATTAATGCCAAGTGCATAACAATTTTCCTTAATTACGCACTCGTTTCACAATTTTATTAGGGATGTCCTAGTTTTTATTTTGAAAATCTGGTCACCCTCTTCTTACTGTGAGCGGACTTGCTTGCCTGATTTGTCCCAGTTTTATACAAGACATGTCTCAGTTGTCCCTATTTTTGACCAATTTGATCTAAACATAAGACTAAACTAAGACTAAACCAGGACTACATCAGGTCTAAACCAGGACTACATCAGGTCTAAACCAGGTCTAAAACAGGACTAACACAATTTTTGACTAATCTGATCCCTGCCAACAGTAAAAAGGAGCATAAATTGTCATTTGTTTTAGGCAAAAAACAGAATTCCATGTTTGCAAATGACCATAAAGCAAAAAAAAAAAAAAAAAAAAAAAAAATGCAGCATCAGAAATTCCTCAGATTATCGCCAACACAAGAATGCACAATTTTACACGCTTTTTTCACAATTTTATTTCCTATTTTGACCAATTTCTTTATCACCAACGGGAAAGAGACCAATATATTGTACTTTTTTTTAAGCTAAAATACAGAAAACATGTTAGAAAATGAACATAAGGCCAAAACAAAAAACAAAACAAAAAAAAACAGCAGAAGTCCGTCAGATTAAATACTAGGGGTGAATATGCTACTTTTTCCTCTTGACAAGACTTAATCTAAAGAACTGAGACTTAAAAGTGTTAGAACTGTTATTTCTTCTTGTCGTCTGCACTGAAATAGAGCAAAGGATCATGGTCTATGTAGTTCCCTCTGTCTTTTTTTTTGTTTATTTTTTTTTTTTTTTTACTATTTCTGCTCCATAACTCTTAATTTAAAGCAAAGAGACTTGTAATTTGATATATTGTGATGGTCCACGATATTATTGTGAGAGTTTTGACGATACGATACCACATCCCTATTAAATACTGATAAAGGACAATGTAATGTAATGTTTTTTTTACTATTTTATTATCACCCATCCCAGCTCGGGTGTGTCAGTTTTTGCATATCTGGTCAGCTTAAGCTTTTGAGTTCTTTCACAGTTGGACTATTCTTATTTTATCAAGTTATTTGGTTAAATGTGAGCCAAAAAAAAAAAAAAAAAAAAAAAAAGCTAACTGAACTCAGCCACATTTTATTAGTCATGTTACAGCAGATTTGTTTATCACATGCTTCTTTATGAAACTCGATTAAACTTAAAGACTTGGTTTGTCTTCCGTTTCGTTTTAGAATTCAGTTTCTAGTGTATAAAATAATGAAAATATTGTCAAACTAACGGGACTAGCATCAAATTAGGAAACTTCAATGCTACGTGCTAATGTTTTTAGCCTCTTTAGTCGCTCTTCCTCACGCGGCAGTGATTCGGCGCGTGGACTCTGGCGCCCTCTGGTGGCAGCTTTTGATACTACAACAGAGCACAGCGTGGTTTACGGTTTATTTTTTTTTATTTTTATTTATTTTTATGTTTATTAAGGACATCACAATCGCATTAGACAAGACAGATGTATCGCTTTGAGTGTTTTAGCATGAGTTTTCAACACCTGTCCATCAAAAAAAAAAAAAAAACCCAAACAACATATATATATATATTTAAACTACGTGCATAAAAACTTTCAAGACACAGTACATTTTCAATAGACACATTTTTATTGGAAACATACAATAATTTTAACTTACTTTTATATTTGTTGTTATTGGTTTCCATTTTGAAATCAGCTCGAAAACAGTACTTACACGTGCTTGATTTTTTTTTTTAAGTATAATTTTGTATAATTAGAGTGACCAGACGTCCCTGTTTACCTGGGACATTCTTAGTTTTGAGCCCTGTGTCCCCTGTCCCAGCAAATTTATCTAAAACCAGTGATTTGTCCCAGTTTTATACAAGAAATGTCCCATGTGTCGCTGTTTTTGACCAGTTTTATACCTGCCAGCAGTAAAGGCATGAATTGTCACTTGTTTAGGTAAAATATAGAAAAGGATGCTTAAAAATGACCAAACTACAAACACTTATTAGTCATGAATGGGCCAAATGCATAATAGTTTTCTTTAATTATGCACTTGTTTCATAATTTTATTATTACCAGCCACCTTAAACCAAGATTGTCCCTGTTTTTATTTTGAAAATCTGGTCACCTAATACATAATATAGTACAGTACGTTTTTATGAGCTGCAAGATTAATTAAAATTTGAGCCGAAAACGGTAATCGAGCAGCAGAAAGAAAGTTTGGAGTGTGAGAGAAACTTGTGACACCGGGTCACTGGTCACTGGATGGACAGAGTCTTCTTCATTACACAATTTTGGCTGATGCGACTTCTACTCTGGAGCGACTTATTGTCCGAAAAATACAGTAATTTGAGCAAGAATCGATACCAAAAAAGTCACATTTACAGGACAGAACTGAACGTTTCTTGAACAGCTTTAGAATTATTTTGAGCTGCCACATGTTAATATAAAAGAATATATTTGAAATTCACATTCTGTTGTCTAAATAAAGAGTATTTTTTATTATCATCATGGGATCAGAATCGGTATTGAGTATAGAGTCCAAACCAGGTCCAAATCAGGTCCAAACCAGGTCCAAACCAGATCTAAACCAGGTCCAAACCAGGTCCAAACCAGGTCCAAACCAGATCTAAACCAGATCTAAACCAGGCCCAAACCAGGTCCAAACCAGATCTAAACCAGGCCCAAACCAGGTCCAAACCAGGCCCAAACCAGGTCCAAACCAGGTCTAAACCAGGTCTAAAGCAGGACTAAAGCAGGTCAAGACTAGGTCTAAACTAGGGCCATCCAGGTCTAAACCAAGACTAAACCAGATGTAAACCATGTCTAAACCAGTTCTAAACCAGGGCTAAACCAGGACTAAACCAGGTCTAAATCAAGACTAAACCAGGACTAAATCAAGACTAAACCAGGACTAAACCAGGACTAAACCAGGACTAAACCAGGACTAAACTAGGACTAAACCAGGACTAAACCAGGATTAATCAGGCCTAAACCAGGTCTGAACCAGGATTGAACCAGGACTAAACTAGGATTAATCAGGTCTAAACCAGGTCTAAACCAGGACTAAACCAGGACTAAACCAGGACTAAACCAGGACTAAACCAGGACTAAAGCGGGGCTAAACCGGGGCTAACCCGGGGCTAAACCGGGACTAAACCAGGACTAAACCAGGACTAAATCAGGTCTAAACAAGTGTTTTTATGATCATCATGGTGTCAGAATCAGTATTGAGTATAGAGTCTAATCCTTAGTATCGAAAACAAAGACTTAAACTAATAATTTGATGTTTTCCTCCGGTGTCTGGGTGGTACATTTGACTGAACATGTTGGTGTTTGTGTTTTTCTTCCAGGGCTGCTGTGTGACTTGCTGTGGTCGGACCCCGATAAGGACGTGCAGGGCTGGGGCGAGAACGACCGCGGCGTCTCCTTCACCTTCGGGGCGGACGTGGTCAGCAAGTTCCTCAACCGCCACGACCTGGACCTGATCTGCAGAGCGCACCAGGTCAGAGCCCGATACTCTGCTGGGAAGACCACAGAATACTGGACTTTTACTCCCATTATCGTGAAGATAGAGGTTGAAATAGTCTGGAGATCATTATTATTATGTTGTTTTCTCAAAATAGAAAAAAATTATCATAGTTTGTTTGAAATGAGTAAAAAAAGTAGAAAACTTCAAATTATGGAATGATGCAAACATGAATTTAAACCAGGACTAAAACAGGTCTAAACCAGGACTAAACCAGGACTAAACCAGGTCTAAACTAGGTCTAAACTAGGTCTAAACCAGGTCTAAACCAGGTCTAAACTAGGTCTAAACCAGGTCTAAACCAGGTCTAAACCAGGTCTAAACCAGGTCTAAACCAGGTCTAAACTAGGTCTAAACCAGGTCTAAACCAGGTCTAAACTAGGTCTAAACCAGGACTAAACCAGGTCTTAACCAGGTCTAAACCAGGATTAAACTAGGTCTAAACCAGGACTAAACCAGGACTAAACCAGGTCTAAACCAGGTCTAAACCAGGACTAAACCAGGACTAAACCAGGACTAAACCAGGTCTAAACTAGGTCTAAACCAGGTCTAAACCAGGTCTAAACCAGGATTAAACTAGGTCTAAACCAGGACTAAACCAGGACTAAACCAGGTCTAAACCAGGCCTAAACCAGGTCTAAACTAGGTCTAAACCAGGACTAAACCAGGTCTAATCTAGGTTTAAACCAGGTCTAAACCAAGACTAGACATGATCTAAACCGGGACTACACCGGGTCTAAACTAGGTCTAAACCAGGTCTAAACTCAGGCTAAACCAGAACTAAACCAGGACTAAACCAGGACTAAAGAAGGACTAAACCAGGACTAAAACTAGGACTAAACCAGGACTAAAATTAGGACTAAACCAGGACTAAAGAAGGACTAAACCAGGACTAAAACTAGGACTAAACCAGGACTAAAGAAGATCTAAACCAGGACTAAATTCAGTCTAAATCAGGACTAAACCAGGTCTAAACTAGGTCTAAAACTCGGACTAAACCAGGACTAAACCAGGACTAAACCAGTCTTGCTTGTAAAAAAAAACAAAAACGCATATTAATCATAATTTGTTGAAATGAGTAAAAAAGTAGAAAACTTCAAAAATGCGATGATGCAAACTTGCTCCTTAAACATTTCTGTATAATTTTTTCATCATCGTCTTGACTGTGACTTGTTCAAAAGTCTCTCTGAACCTTAATCTCCTCGTATCTCGCCTCGACAAACCCCTCAGATGATCCGTCGTGTCTTCAGTCCGCTCTGGTCTCTCTGTTCTCGTTGTAAACTCTTGTCTTTGTGTGTGGCGCCCCCAGGTGGTAGAAGACGGTTACGAGTTCTTTGCCAAACGTCAGCTGGTGACGCTTTTCTCGGCCCCAAACTACTGCGGAGAGTTCGATAACGCCGGCGGGATGATGAGCGTGGACGAGACCCTCATGTGCTCCTTCCAGGTGAGTCGCCAGAGAGAAGACGTCAAGACAAAACTACTACTACTACTACTACTACTACTACTCAGTACTACATCTAGATACTTACCTGAAGTAGTGTGGATACTGAAGAAATAATCACATTACGTCACGTCAGTCACATTTCCTGGACACATTTAGAGCGATTTCAGATGGAAACATTAATGAAACCATAGTTTTGTATTGAAAATTACATTTAATTGTTTATTATTATTGTAGTTTCAGAATTGATATTGAAGATCAGAACTGAGTTTAAACTAAAGACACTAAAAGGCCGTAGTAGGAGGAAGATTATTTAGTTGTAAATACTACGACAAAATTAAATGTGAGTCCATTAACAGTTTAAAGCAACAAATTGACACAAAAAAGAAAAAGTTTATTGTATTGTAAATATAATATAATGCTCCTCCATATTTTAAAATCACCCAAATGTACTTTTTTTTTGTACTTTATTCCACCAAGAATCAAGATTTTCATAATAGTTGTTACTGGGAGAGGAGTGAAAATCACTGGGGCATTGACCAAGATGATGTGGACAAATTATATCAAACACCAGTCCAAATATTTACATGTAGTACAGTAGTACAGCAGTACATGTAGTACAGTAGTACAGTAGTACAGCAGTACATGTAGTACAGCAGTACATGTAGTACAGTAGTACAGTAGTACATGTAGTACAGTAGTACATGTAGTACAGTAGTACAGTAGTACAGCAGTACAGTACAGTAGTACATGTAGTACAGCAGTACAGTAGTACAGCAGTACATGTAGTACAGCAGTACAGTAGTACAGCAGTACATGTAGTACAGCAGTACATGTAGTACAGTGGAACAATAATACTTCACTACTTCACTTCTTCACATGTTTTATAGATTTCAGAAGTGTTCGCTCTGCCCCTAGTTCATTTTTTCCATAAATAAAAAAAAAAGAAGAAAAAAGTATATATATATAGTTTGCAGATGGACTCAGGGTTAATGAGCCTTTGTAGAAATATAATTTTATTTAGAATCTGTTTGTGTAACTTTATAAATCACAGATTTATTAAAGGTTCTGTAGAGTCTTGAGTTTTAAATTTACTTTTTGGGTTTAAAACAGTCGCGTTACGCAAACGAGTTGGTGCTTTTAAACTCATTAATATTTTGAACTTTTCTAAATGTCTGTGGAAATATGAATGGAAAATACGAACGGGAAACTTACTTCCAGAACCGGAGCGCGCGCCGTCACTCTTCCTGTTGGGCAAAAATTCCCAATCCTGTTTTCCTCCTCTGTCCCCAGATCCTGAAGCCGTCTGAGAAGAAAGCCAAGTACCAGTACGGAGGGATGAACGCCGGGCGCCCAGTGACCCCGCCCCGCACAGCCCAACCCCCCAAGAAACGATGAACCGACCACGCACACACACACACATAACCCCACACCAGGAGGAGGAGGAGGAGGAGGAGGAGGAAGACACGTCGAAGTCCATCAGTGCAACTTTTTCAAAACAAGTGTTAAGAATGGAATAAACCAGTCTAAGGGTCGTTCTGTTTGCATAGTCCAATGTACTTTTTTTTTTTTTTCTTTTCTTTTTTTGTTTTATTCATTTTCGTTTCGCTTTTATGTGTTTTCTTTGACGACGGAATGACGACTAGTTTACCACAGCGCCCCCTACCTGTACAGACACGAACAGGAGTTGATGACGACTGCTGGGTTTTCAATAAATACAGGGAACAAAACTCATCGCGGCGTTGTGTGTTTTTTTACTTCTTTATTTTTTTATCAGATTTAAATACTGATGGAGCGAGGGATACCAGGACTAAACCAGGTCTAAACCAGGTCTAAACCAGGTCTAAACCAGATCTAAACCAGGTCTAAACCAGATCTAAACCAGATCTAAACCAGATCTAAACCAGGTCTAAACCAGGTCTAAACCAGGTCTAAACCAGGTCTAAACCAGGTCTAAACCAGGACTAAACCAGGTCTAAACCAGGACTAAACCAGGTCTAAACCAGGACTAAAACCAGGACTAAACCAGGTCTAAACCAGATCTAAACCAGATCTAAACCACGTCTAAACCAGGTCTAAACCAGGTCTAAACCAGATCTAAACCAGATCTAAACCAGGTCTAAACCAGGTCTAAACCAGGTCTAAACCAGTCTAAACCAATCTAAACCAGACTAAACCAGGTCTAAACCAGATCTAAACCAGATCTAAACCAGGTCTAAACAGGTCTAAACCAGGTCTAAACCAGGACTAAACCAGGTCTAAACCAGGACTAAACCAGGTCTAAACCAGGACTAAACCAGGTCTAAACCAGGACTAAACCAGGACTAAACCAGGTCTAAACCAGGTCTAAACTAGAGCTAATCCAGTTCTAAACCAGGTCTAAACCAGGTCTAAACCAGGTCTAAACCAGGACTAAACCAGGACTAAACCAGATCTAAACCAGATCAAAACCAGATCTAAACCAGGTCTAAACCAGGACTAAACCAGGTCTAAATTAGAGCTAATCCAGTTCTAAGACAGGTCTAAACCAGGACTAAACCAGGACTAAATTAGGTCTAAACCAGGTCTAAACCAGGTCTAAACCAGGTCTAAACCAGGACTAAACCAGTCTAAACCAGGTCTAAAACCAGGTCTAAACCAGGTCTAAACCAGGTCTAAACCAGGTCTAAACCAGGTCTAAACCAGGACTAAACCAGGTCTAAACTTAGGTCTAAACCAGGACTAAACCAAATCTAAACCAGGTCTAAAACATGACTAAATCAGGTTTAAACTAAGGCTAAACCAGGTCTAAACCAGGTCTAAACCAGATCTAAACTAGGACTAAACTAGACCTAAACCAGGTCTAAACCTGGTCTAAACTAGAGCTAAACCTAAACCAGGACTAAACCGGATCTAAACCAGGTCTAAATTAGGTCTAAACCAGGACTAAACCAGGATCTAAACCAGGTCTAAAACAGGACTAAACCAGGACTAAACTAGGTCTAAACCAGGTCTAAACCAAGGAAAAACCAGGACTAAACCAGGTCTAAATCATGACTGAATCAGGTCTGAAGTAGCTCGGTGTTTGTTCATTGATCTGAAGGTTGGTGGTTCGATTCCAGCTCCCACAGATGAATGGTTAGAAGCATTTAACCTTTTAATATATATTTTTTTAAATTCTGACTTGTTTTGGTGGATAATTTCTGTGCTAAATATTTATCTTAGTGTTTGAAGAGTTCGGTGAGAGTTTGGGGAGGAGGCTGTACTTCTCATTCTGACCACCAGAGGGCGCCCAATGCACATAACACACCTGCAGACGTTTGAACCGTGTTTGTTTTAGATTTATTTTTTATGACTCTCCCAGATCAAATTTTAAACTCGTCCAAGAGCGTTCACATGTGAGAATCCCCAAAAATCACATTTCAGAACATGTTTGTAGAGCTTAAAACGACAAGAAACAAGAAGGACTAAACAAGGATTAAACCAGGACTAAACCAGGACTAAACCAGGTCTAAACCAGGACTAAACCAGGTCTAAACCAGGACTAAAGCAGGACTGAACCAAGACTAAAGCAGGACTAAACCAGGTCTAAACCAGGTCTAAACCAGGACTAAAGCAGGACTGAACCAGGACTAAAGCAGGACTAAACCAGGTCTAAACCAGGACTAAACCAGGTCTAAACCAGGACTAAAGCAGGACTGAAAAGACTAAAGCAGGACTAAACCAGGTCTAAACCAGGACTAAAGCAGGACTGAACCAGGACTAAAGCAGGACTAAACCAGGTCTAAACCAGGACTAAACCAGGACTAAACCAAAGCTGAACCAGGACTAAACCAGGACTTAAGCAGGACTAAACCAGGTCTAAACCAGGTCTAAACCTGGACTAAACCAGGTCTAAACCAGGACTAAACCAGGACTAAACCAGGTCTAAATCAGGTCTAAACCAGGACTAAACCAGGACTGAACAAGGACTAAACCAGGTCTAAATGAGGACTAAAGCAGGACTAAACCAGGACTAAACAAGGACTAAACCAGGTCTAAACCAGGACTAAACCAGGACTAAACCACTAAACGAGGACTAAAGCAGGACTAAAGCAGGTCTAAACGAGGACTAAAGCAGGACTAAAGCAGGACTAAACCAGGACTAAACCAGGACTAAACTAGGACTGAACCAGGACTAAACCAGGACTGAACAAGGACTAAACCAGGTCTAAATGAGGACTAAAGCAGGACTAAAGCAGGACTAAACCAGGACTAAACAAGGACTAAACCAGGTCTAAAACTAACCAGGACTAAACCAGGACTAAACCAGGACTGAACAAGGACTAAACCAGGTCTAAACGAGGACTAAAGCAGGACTAAACCAGGACTAAACAAGGACTAAACAAGGACTAAACCAGGACTGAACAAGGACTAAACCAGGTCTAAAAGAGGACTAAAGCAGGACTAAAGCAGGACTAAACAAGGACTAAACAAGGACTAAACCAGGTCTTAACCAGGACTAAACCAGGACTGAACAAGGACTAAAGCAGGTCTAAACTAGGACTGAACCAGGACTAAACCAGGACTGAACAAGGACTAAACCAAAGCTGAACCAGGACTAAAACAAAACTAAACCAGGTCTAAAGCAGGACTAAAACACAAACATGTCATTTTTCAGGTTTTATTTTGAAATGTATTTAATTATATTGTTGTTGTTTTTTCTTTTTCTTTACATGAAACAAGGAACAAATAAAAAAGAACACAACATAAGCACAAAATAAAAATGAAAAGGCAAAATAATGAATATCCAAACTCTGAACTGTAAAATGAACAAGATTAGACCTGAACTAGTTCAGGATTAATCCAGGACTGGACCAGGACTGGACCAGGACTGTGTTTTCATAATTCAGAGACAAATGTCCAGACACAGACAGAGTTCTGCTTTATCAGGACACAAATACATGACATGTCCATTTAAAGGCCCATTATTTTCTGTCCTTCACAAAGAGGCGTCGGCACCTTGGTCCTTGAATAACCAGTGAATAATTGGACAGGCCCAATAATACGAGTGGAAATTCGACAGTGCCACACCAGCTCCTTCTTTTGGTCGCTGTAGATAAACTTTGCTCAAGCGCAGAGGTTTTTGGTCCCAAATAAAACCAGAGAGAATATGATCTAAAAAAATTGTGAATAAAGATTGTAATGCCCTGAAAAAGAAAACTGAATTTGGGGAAAACATTCATCTTGATCCAGCTTATTTTACCAGCAACTGAAAGATTAAAGGAGACCAGTGTTTAATGTTTTCTTTAAAAAGATCGTCTTCCTTTTTTGTTATGAGTGAATTTGTCTCCAGTGATTTTAAATCAGGGGTGTCAAACTCATTTTGTTCCGGGGGTCGTATCCAACCGACTTTGATCCCAAAGTGTCCGGATCAGAAAACTCATGTCATATAAACCCCAAAAATAACAATAAGCTCAAATATTTGTGCAGAGAAACACAAATCTATTACAGAAATCTGTTTTCTTTTACAAAATATTAGAATATTATGAACAACCTGAAACTTTAAGAAAAATACAATTTCAACACAATGTTTTAACATGTATGTAAATAGGAATAAGTAAATTTTTCTTGTAAAATCCTGCACTCGGCTCCACTTTTCTCATGTTGGACATTTTTCTGATGAGGGTGTCACGATCAACAGTCAAAACGATCGTCCTTTAAGAGCGTTTGGAAAGAGACAAGTCTTCATTTGTGCTGCTCTGGTGGGAGGGGCCACGTACAGAGACGCTGGAGACGCTGCTGTGATAAACACCACAGAAAAATAACAAGATTTTAAATAGAAAATATAATTTAAATATCTTAGTAGAAAATCAGCCGAGGTCTTGGTAAAGGTCTTGGAGGGCCAGATCTGGCCCCCTGGGCCGTATGTTTGACACCCCTGATTTAAAGGTTGTATGGAGGATTTTTTTTTGTTTCAAATTGTCAGTGATAGATTATAGATGCAGTAACCTTGTAATTATGATGACCAAAAAAAAGAGAATAAAAATTCATCAACTCTGGACGTGATGGGGCTAAACATTTGCCAATAGATAACGACACTGCCTCGTTATCTGTGAGCTGACAGGCTGTCAATCAAACTCCCTACGTTTCTAGAGTAACTGACTTGCCTGCGCCGCCGGTACGTGGTTTACGTACGACTGTCACGCAGTCCACAGACGCAAGACGCACAGATGCTGTTTACTCCACCAACGCAACAGTTCTTAGCGGCTTTTTTTGGACCTATATCTTCCTCGCAGTTCGCACAAAGTTTGTTGCAATGGCGACAAGAATCCAGGAGCAGTTCGCCCCAAAAGAAAGTCCGTTTTTGAGGTCGCTGAAAGAAGAAGACAAGGGGAAAAGCAGCGAAGCCAAACTAAGGTGATTCTTGTAGATTCATTCCAGCGATGGTGCGACTGAAGCAGACGCAGGGTCTAAAGACTGACGCACTGGTCCACAAATTACTCCTGGACAGGAAACTTCTGCTTATTATGAAAACGTACTTTATTTCCAAGAGCTACACAAACGTTTTTCATGACACGAATGCGATATCCTATGTCTGAAAACGTCATTTTCAAGGCAAAGAAAGAGTCCGCTTGCTGCTGCGTGTTGTAGTAGTAGCTTCATTCGCACTGAATCTCCGCACACCCTTTCCTGCTCCTCTCCCCGCTCCCCGTTCCGTTCTTCTCCCTGCTCCTCACTTCTTCTCTGCACACCCCCTGCCCCCGCTCCTCACT